GAGTGAGGAGTAAGTGTTTATTACCGGACTGGCGGGGGCTGAACAGTCCTCTGCTCCTGACCCTGTCCCTGGCGCTACTGCAGGTTAAATCTAAGACTCAATTTCCATGCTCAGGACACTGCAGTTCAACGCAAAGCATGTAAAGGGACAGAAGAGTCTAATAGGGATCAAAGGAAAGAAGAAGAAATGTGGTGATAGTTGAGCTGAGTCTGAGAAGCAGTATGAGACTTGGGAGGAATGAAAAGATGGCATTCTACACAAAGGACACAAAGGTAACAGTCCAGAATTGTGTGGGGAAAAGGAAAGGTGGAAGTTTTTAGCTGGAAAATAGGTTGCAGGCAGAGGATCTGCAGAGACAGCTGGAGGACTGGGCCACACTGATCACATGTAGGGACTTGAATGACAAAATACTAAACTGGTAGGGCAGCTGGTGGAGATTCCCCACACAAAAGTGGAAAAATGAACCAGAATATGCTTTGGAAATCTGCAAGTGGCAAGAGAGTGAGCAGCAGTAACAAGAGGAGGGAGCAGCTGAAGTATGAACAGCAAGGCATTATTGAGGGCATGCTAAGTACCAACCCTGCTCATCCTAACTCGGGTTATCTCCTTACAGCTCCCTCACCCACTCTTACCATCCCATTTCACAGATGAAGGAACTAAAGCTCAGTGAGGCTAAGAAATGGGCCCCAGACTGTACAACCAGACAGCAGTAGAGCTGGGATATCTGCTCTAGTAGGTCTGACTCCAGTGCAAGCACTGGTGACCACCAGACTCACCTGCCTCCAAGTAAGGTGCAGGCCTCTGCATACTGATGTCCCATTGAGTTGAGAAGTAGAAACACAGAGGAGGAGAATAATATAAGAGATGATTTCTCTGTAACCTACCAATTGAGGGAAGGATTAACTGGAGATGGTTTGAGCTAAGGTGCTCCAGAGCTGCACATCAAGCCAGCAAAACCTTAGACTACCTCATGAACATATACCATACCATGTCCTGCTTTCCCACAGGCTGGCTGCTACCTGACTTAGCTTTTAATGGTTGGAGCCTACTTTCTAAGCAAGCTGAACACCACAAGAGTTAACAGAGATGATTATTAGGGATTGAATTGTGTCCCCCAAAACTCTTGGTGAAGTCCTAACCCCCAATACCTTAGAATGTGATCTTATTTGGAAATTGGGTCATTGCAGATGAATTAGGTAAGTTAAGAGACTAGGGTGGACCCTTATCCTGTATGACTGATACCCTTATAAAACAGGAAATTGGATACAGACATGCACCCAGAGACAATGCCATGTGAAGATGAAGGCAGAGAGCAGGTGACACAGAAGAAACCAAGGAATGCCAGAGACTGCCAGCAAACCACCGCAAGGTAGGAGACAGTTGTGGAAGCAATTCTCCCTAATAGCCCTCAAAAGTACCTAACCCTTCCAGCACCTTGATCTTGAACTTCTCACCTCTAGAACTGTGAGACAATAAATTTCTGTTTAAGCCACCCAGTCTGTGGCACTTTGTTACAGCAACCCCAGCAAACTAATACCATACCATAGACCATCTTTTCCCATACAGAGACTATTACAACGTCCTTTAGTAAGCAAAATGAAAATCCGACTGGGAAACTGTATCATACCACAACATATGTGATAATAAGACTATTTCTGTATCACACCTGTGCTTTATTTAAAACAGGTAATGTCTGAAATTTCATCTCTGTGCAATAGCTCAGGCACTAGGAACCACCGCTGATTTTGAAATGAAAAACAATTTTTACCTTTAATAATCAAGGACCTTCTTTCTTTTCCCTTTACTCTTTAGAATTAAATAGTGACTGTATCAGGTTCTGTGTCCTGAGGAAACCAGCCCAATGGGCAGTAACTCAAGAGGTCCTATTGGTTCCATCCTCCGGCAGAAGGTGGCTATAGCACAGCACGAAGCCACATCAAGAGAACTACAGGCTCTCTCAAGGTGGCAATGGTTTTCTAAACACTGAAGCTGGCTGTAAGCAGCAGCTGCGTCTTCAAATATGTTTACCTATTCCAGTCTACAAAAGCTGTCCATTTCTTTGTTTAACCTGCATTACTCTGAAGAACAAGCACTTTGGCAGTTTTAAGAGAATGGCTGTGGGAACAAAGTTAAGTGTGCCAGCCTTTCCCTCCGGGAATTCCGGATGAGCCCCAGTGAGAAGTGAAACCAAAGCAGTACTTCTTTGATACTTGGAAAATCCCCTACTCCAAAGTATTTTAGCACACATACAAAAACTACAGGAAGTTATACTATAAAACCGGAATCTCCTGCAATGCAAATGTAAGCCAGTGGAATGGTCTATCAAATAATAAAAACGATGTTCCTGTGGGGCAAAGCACTCTTTTCTCTTACACATTAATAGCAGCTAACATTTACCACCCACATGACAGCCACAGTTCTAAGCCCTTTATATGAGATGAACTTTTCAATTCTCCTATCAACCCTACATTGTGCAGATGAGAAGAATGAAGTACAGAAAGGCTAAGCACCTTGTCCAAGGTCACACAGCTACAAGTGGCAGAGCTGGGCTTAAAAGCCAGGCAGTCTGGCTCCAACACACCTCCCTCTCTTAAAAGACAACCAGCCACCCAAGCCAGAAATGCAGACAAACAAGCCAAAAGTGAGTGGGGGACCTCTGAAGGAGGGCGGGTTGAGGATGGAGGACAGGAGAAAACAATCGCAGCTTTAATCCAGGCCTGGTGCTGCCCTTCCCCATTTAATTGGCACAACCTTCCCCTGGGGTCAACATTACTCTCCCACACCTCTGAGGCTTGCAGTGATTCAAATAGCCGTGGGCGGGGTTACACTAGCAAGCAATGCTCCCAAACACAGGTCTAGAAGATTGCAAAAACCTGTTGTTTTCCCAGCCCTGGTTTTCTCCCACCCTCATTGTAACCAAACTGTAACCTATGCTATTCTGAATAGTATAACCTGTATTTAAAGGACAATCCAGGATGGGAGAGTAGTTATCCTGGAGAACTGCACGTGTCCAGAGAACCAGAGTGCTTAATTAATATGCCAGCCTGGAAGTAAGGAGACTCAGGTTCTGGTCCCACTTCTGGCATCAATAACATGTAGCTTTAGCCAAGTGCCCTAACTTTTGCTAGGCTTCTATTTTTCTTAAGTACAAACTGGATAGAAAGATGCCTGGCCTGTGTACGCCACAAGGTTGACATAAAAGGCATTACCAACGAAGGCAAATTAGCTGTTTGAGAACTGTAAGGTGTTTGACATATGATCTTTGCAGGATTGAACAAAAGCAGGTCATCCCAGCAGCTACCACTATCCAGCAGGTGTACACATGGCAGCCCAGCCCGGGAAGGCACTGCCAAGAGAACAGCCCTGTGTTAACTTCACTCTCTCCCCTAAAAAAGCTGGACTCAAGGACTCCAAGGTGAATTGGCTGGACCCCGGCCCCCTGAGTGGCCTGCCTGTCTAAACAGGTAATAATCAGGTGATGGTGGGAGGGAAGTCCTGGAAGTGCAAACAGCCAACCCTCTGCCTCCCTCCAGGTCCCCACACACTTTACAAGTGGTCTGGCATTCAGCTATGAGGGGGGTAGGGTGCCATCTGGTACAGCATTCAGCACTGAATTTCAACTTCAAATGTTACAGAACCAGGAAAGGTGGGAATATAACAAATACCCACTTACTAGGAAGTGGAGGATTCTGGTGAGACTTACCCCAAAGGGTTCAGGGCAGATGAGTTAGTGGGGAAGAGCATTCTACTCCATCAAATAATTAGAGAGAGCCCGCCAAGTCCCTCTCCCTAACCCCCACACCATTAGTTGTGGTCCCCAGGAAGACGAAGGGATCTGGGATCAGCATAACAGTGATGCACTTCGACACAATGACCCCTCCTGGAGAGGGTGGAGAAGCTCGTCTGGCAACTGCCTACACAAACAGCAATTCTGAAGAGCAGCAAACAAACCAGTTTACCCCAATTCCATTTTGCATAAGATTGCACTCCACAAACACCACTGGCGAACGCTCATGGATAACCAGTTAGTAACACTAATTTGGGCTAAGAAAGAATATTAAAGTCCTCCTGGAAGGAACTTTGGATAAGGTGGTTTTGTAGAAATTGACGTAAAGTGTCCTTAAACTCTAAGGCAGGACAGCACCTTCAGTCAACAGACCTTGGAACACTTGGCAACAAGCAGTTAAGCCAGAGAAGGGCTTGCATTCATCAACCAAAGGGAGCTGTTAGTCACTAGGTATCTGTCAGGGTACCTGTTCTTTTTATGCTAATAAGGGGTTACGCAAGGCCCAGGAGGGAAGGTTGTTTGGTGCAGGGGATGATTAGATCACAGAGAGAATGTTTGCCGGCTGGCCTCGGAATGGACACTGCCCACAACTCTTTAATCCAGGAAAGTAGCAAACCCGAACTGCAATTAGTTTAACATCAGGGCGAGGGTCACTGCATTAGGCGGAGAGTGGCTCTTAAAAGAATTACCCATCTTTTGGGCGGTGCCTGTGGCTCAAGGAGTAGGGCGCCTGCCCCATATACCGGGGGTGGCGGGTTCAAGCCCAGCCCCAGCCAAAGCAGCAAAAATAATAAGAATAATTACCCATCTTCTACAGGCCAACACCTCCTTCATATCTCAGGCACGGGATTCAGAAAAAGAGATCTCCGTGTACGTTAATAAAGGAAGACAGTGGGCAAGAAAATTAACACCATCCCTTTTCCCCTTTCCACTCCCAAACTGTTCTTGTCAGTCATCAAACACAGGAAAATGTTCCCTACAACCAGACGGATTCCACTCATTTCTTGCTCAAAAACAGAAAATGCACGAGACAGCACTAATAGCCTTCATTTCCATTCTCGAAAAGGAGAAGCAGCATCGTCTGTGAACCTGCAACTACCCAAGAACTAATTAACAGTGGAAAGAGGAAGCGGGTGTGCCCTCCGTCACAAGCCCGGAGGGCTCCCGGCCAGTGGCGACATTACACCTCGCTCTGGTCCCGCCGTGCGTTTACCTCGCTCGCGCATTCGCCAGCATGCGGCACCTGAGCCGTCGGTTCGGCAGGTTCCTTCTCCTCCTCGGCGGCCAAGGGGCTATTCTGAGTACCTCGGGGGTCCCCGCCACCCCCCTGCGCAGCTTGGCCGCCGCCGTCCAAACTGGCGCCGCCAACTCCACCCGCGGATGAGGCAGCAGCGCCGAGCAGTCCGTGGGCCGAGTCCGCGTCCCCCGCTGCCACGCAGTGCACCAGCCACGCATCCACCTGGGTGCGGGGGATGAACGGGACCCCGAGCGCGCGCACCTCCCGGAGCAGCCGACCCTCAGGCGCCCCTGCGGGGTCCGGCACCCGGCCCTTGGGGTGCAGCCTGCCGGCGTGCCCCCACTCTCCAGAGGCAGGGAAGGGGCTGAGCGCGTGGGCGGAGCTGGCCGGGCCGCCCAGCAGCAGCAGCTCATCCCGGAGCAGGGTGGGGGGCGACAGCAGCAGGTAGAGGTCCAGGTCTACAGGGAGCCCGGCCAAGCTCAGCAGGACGGTGAGATGCAGGAGGCCGCTGCCGGCCGACCACCACGACTTCAGTTGCTTCATCTCCCGCGGCGCGCCCGCCGACGCCCCTCCCGGCGCCCGCGGGTCCCAGAGCTGCAGCCGCCGCGGTGGCACGTGAGGACCCCGCGCGACTGGAGCACCTGCCTGGAAAAGACCGAGAAGCGAAACAATGGACCCGCACGCGCAGCGGCCGTCGCGGGCTCCCCGAGCCGGGCACAAAGGCGCTCCCTCGGTAGCCGGCTCCGTGCCCGGCGCGGCCGGGGATCTGGAGACGCGGAGGAGGAGCCACCTGCGCGCAGAGCCCGCCTGCCCAGACACTCCGCCACCCCGGGCCGCGGCCAAGCCCCGCCCTGGGCCTCGGGCTCTGCTGCCGGGAACACGCCCACGGCGCCGGGACCGGAGCCCGAGGGCGGGGCGGGCAGGGCAGGCGGGGCGGGCCCGGGAGTTCGAAGCCTCTTTAACGCCCTGAGAGCGCAAAGCTTTCTGGGAGAAGTTGCTCTGGACTTGGAGAGGCCCCTGGACGCCCTATGGCCGTGAGCTTGGCCATCCTAACTGAAAGCTAGGGGTGGGAGTGGCGGGCGCGCGGTGAGTGGAAAGGGACAGGATGTGTAGACTAGGGGGAAAGTAGATGATCAGCCGCGAGGCACCTGGCAGCTTGTAAAAGGCTTCTGCCCACGCGTTGATAGTCGGCTGGAGCAGTAGTTAAGAGGAGTTGGGGGAGTTTGACCCCTGGATTCAGATCCCAGCCTTATTACCCGTTGCTTGTGTGACCTTGGATGAGGTACTAATCTCTGTGTCAGTTCCTTATCTGTAAAATGTAATAGCACCTGTCAAAGGGGCTGTGGTCAGATGAGATATTACATGTGAAGTTAAGAGTTTGACATAAAAATGCCACAGTTGCTACTGGGATCAAACAGTATCCCCGGCCCCTCTCGCCAGACTCCCCACTGTCACTATTTCTGGAGAGCTCTGCTCCTGGAGAGCTTGGCCTCCCTTCATGGTACCTTTTGCTCCGTGAGTGAGGGTTTTCACCAGCTCTACTGTTAACCCTGTATGACTTCACATTCATTCCCCCTTCACCACTTATTAGTTGGAATCTTGAACAAATCTGTCACTTTCTTTGTGCCTCAGTTTCCTCACTATAAAATGAGACTAACAATAGTACTTCCCAAAAGCCTTTTGTGAGCACCAAATGAGTTAATCCATGGCAACAGCCAACCCTAGGACTGGACTGACAGGAAGTGCTCTCTGTTACCCATCTCCAAGGCTTAGCTCCAAAGCTACATCCTCTGAATTTTCACCAGTCAGAATTAATCTCTTCTGCATATGTTCTTCCACAACTCTTTTTCCATATGCCAACTTTGCAACACTCAGCCCATTCAACTTTGTTTTGTAGTTGAGGATTGATCTTCATTTGTCTATTACAAGTTCTCCAGGGCAAAGAACCAATTTGGTTCACCTTTGTGTCTGCACTACAGCTTGCATTGGGCTTGCAAATGTAGGTTTTACCAACCCTTGGGAGATTCCCAACTGAGGGTCTGCAATTGTGTACGAAGTTGAGCAAGAGTTGTTTTAAAGGCCTCTTCCTCCACCTAGTTTTCTCTTCTCTCTCCTGGGGCTGGTGTGATAAGAGCTTTCAGGGAGCCCATTGGGGCCAGGGCACTTTATTAAGTTTGACCAATGTACGTTCATGTATGTAAGAAGAAGCAGATTTCTTAAAATTGCTTTTGCTTTAAACATTGGAGGATGGGCTAGGATGAAGAACAGAAAGAGAGGTGATTGCCAGGTTAGCAAGATATGGGACAGAAACCCTGTTCACAGCGCTTAGTCCCTCAACAGGGGCTTTAAAAAAGAAAATCTGGCAGGCTCCGTGCCTGTAGCTCAGCAGTTAGGGCACTGGCCACATACACTGCAGCTGGCGGGTTCGAACCTGGCCCCGGCCTCCTAAACAACAATGACAACTACAGCAACAACAACAAAAATAGCTGGGCATTGTGGTGGGCACCTGTAGTCCCAGCTACTTGGGAGACTGAGGCAAGAGAATTGCTTAAGCCCAGGAGTTTGAGGTTGCTATGAGCTGTGACACTAGGGCACTCTACTGAGGGAGACACAGTGAGACTCTGTTTTAAAAAAAGAAAGAAAGAAAGAAAGAAAATGTGGCTTTAACTCTGTAGCTTCCAGACTGGTGGAAAGGAGGGCATATTTGGGTCTTGCAGGAGACATAATCAATTCCACATACCCATAGCAAAAGGTTCCATTTTTAAAAGGATAGAGCAGAATGAGATTAGAAGGACAGACTCTTACTTAGTTTTATTTCCAGAATCCCTCCATCCAGGAATAGCCAAATGAAAAGTCCAAACCATTGTCTTGTAAGAATCTTTTTTTTTTTTTTGAGACAAGAGTCTCACTTTATCACCCTCAGTAGAGTGCCATGGCGCCACAGCAACCTCCATCTCCTGGGTTTAGGCGATTCTGTTGCCTCAGCCTCCCAAGTAGCTGGGAATACAGGTACCCACCACAATGCCTGGCTACTTTTTGGTTGCAGTTTGGCCAGGCCGGGCTCAAACCCGCCACCCTCGCTTGGTATATGGGTCCAGTGTCTTATTCCCTGAGCCAACAGCACCGCCCAATCTTGTAAGAATCTTGGAAAGTCCAAACTGTTGTCCTGTAAGAACCTACATTTATGAAATCCTCAAATCAGTACTACTTGAAGAATGGTTTGCACACTGGCACTACTGAAACTGGTGCCAGTGTGCAAACTGTTTGTTTCTGATTCAGATGAGGTAATTAAATAGAATTAAGAGTGCTTAGAAATCTTCATACAGCAATTTGATGTTGCAACATTAAACATATCATTGGTCAGTTTGTTTTTTTAAGCCTTTATAATTTTATTTTTCTGGAAATGAATTTCTATTTTATTTTACAAGAGAACCGGCTTGCAACAAATTGAAAATTACAAAAAAAAAAAAAAGTTGGTCCTTCATCAGGGTTAGTTGGAGAAGCACCACCTTTAATGTTATCCTTGTGAGGTAGGCAGCTTGTAAGATGACTTTCAGTGACTCCTTTCCCTTGAATGTAGGTCAGATTGGGTGACTTGATTCTAGCAAATAGAATATGGCAAAAATGAGGGGATATCGTTTTTGAGATTCGGTTGCAAAAGGATGCGGTGGCTTTTGTGTTGTCTACCTCTCTCTCCAGCTTTCCTACTCTCCCTCTGGGAGAAGGAAACTGCCGTGCTGTCAGTGGTCCTGCACTGAGGCTCATGCTGCAGGGCACTGGTGTCTCGGGCCTGCCTGCAGCCGCTTGAGTGAACAAAGAAGCAGATTCCCCCCTGGAGGCTTGAAATGACTGTACCCCTAGCTGACTCCTTGATTCCAACTTTGTGAAAAACCCTGAACCAGAGGACACATCTACATGACCCAGAAGTGAATCTAAGATATTAAATGTTCTTTCAAAGCACTACATTTTGGGGTAATTTGTTACGTAGCCATAGCTAACTAATATACCCTGTGTTAGAGGTGACATCAGACAAGTTGAAGGAAAACTGAAAATGCAACTTTACTTGTGCAATGAGTAATTGATGACTAGGGTGGTGCCTGTAGCTCAGTGGGTAGGGCACTGGCCACATACACCAAGGCTGGGGGGTTTGAACCTGGCCTGGGCCAGTTAAAACAACAATGACAACTGCAACAACAACAACAACAAAATAGCCAGGTGTTGTGGCTGGTGCCTGTAATCCCAGCTACTTGGGAGGCTGAGGCAAGAGAATCGCTTAAGCCCAAGAGTTGGAGGTTGCTGCGAGCTGTGACACT